TAAGCTCCTGCGCTGCCATGTGGACTCGCTGTTGTTTTGCTTCCAGTTTCCCTTTGTTTATATCATATGCTAGCTTTTGTGGTTGAAAAAAGGCTGTCAGTCATGTCCTTCAAGGCCAAAAAAAGTGTTCAGAATTTTTTTTTTCTTTTCTAAAGGCGGACTTTCTGAAAAACATTGCACTTGTTTCTCATGCCAACAGTCACAGCCGCCCACCAACTAGTTGCCAGTTCAGTCACAAACACTCATCCTTGCCAAATTAGCAAAACCTGAGGTGTTTTCTCTGATACAGGATTTCCCAGTTTCTGTCACAGAGCTGGTGGTGTTTTTATTCACTGCTATCCAATTTTATGGCCAGGAGCACCAGTCCCACATAAAAAAAAAATTACCCATCTCAATTTCAAAACAAACCTTTAATCTTTCCTTAAAATATCTAAATGTCAAAAGTATTTATTAGCACTATAGTCCATACACAAGCTGAATGTTTGACATTGCATGATGATTTCCTTTGTGTACCTGAAATTTCAATTATTTTCAAAGCACCAGAGCTGAAAGCAGAAATAATCTTGACTATAATCCCATCCTTGCCTGCGTACTCTCTCCTCGCTTTGACAGTGTTACACTGTAAAATGTTTTTAAAAATAATCTGTTTGGTTTTTGGCCCCTACATGAACCTGATGAAATGCATGTAAGTAGCTGTGAAACAGAAAAGCCAACCACAGGACCTTCTCTCACTCATGTTTATGACTGCGCTGCACACGGGCAAAAGTGTCACCACTGAATAAGAAGAAAAAAACCATGCATCGTATTCTAGCAGACAGCACTGTTTGTGTTTGTCACTTTCAAAAAGGGCTTTGAATTAAAGTAAACCACACCTCTAACTCGTACTTAAAGTCCGTATAAATACTGTAAATACATGTATGTAGAGTATTTACATACAGAGCAGAAGACATACCTTTAATTCCCTTTTGATACATACACTCTGCATTAAGGAAAGATATATTAAAAAGACCTGGTATTAGTGGTTTGCCATAAACAGTATAAGCTGCTGCTGCTTCGTGATCTGACGTGAGGGGAGCAGATGTGGCACAGAGCTGCTGTGCTGCAGTCCGATATCATTAAAGTATGTGTTTGCTTAAATGTATCAATATGTATGTGAGCTACAGAGGGGAAAAAACGTGCTGAAATTATTTATCCTGCTAATGTAGACCAGGACTGTCACTTTTGTCACCTATCAATCTAAAGGTTCTAAAAATCAACTCTAACTGAGTGGTAGAAAACAAGGAATGATCCAGCAGAAGGCGCAATAACAATAGTTAAACATTAAATACCCCATGTATATACCACTAATGCGATGTTGTTTGCTGCCCGCAGTTAAACAAAGCAGTAGGTATTGTTGAACAGATGTGTTGGGAAAAAAAAGTAAAGTTTTAGGAAGACTACAGAACCTAGGATTGCACTGGGAGTTTTATTTTCACTGTTAATTTAAGGACTAAGAAGACTACTGAATTGGTTACCCTGTCCACCAGCAGAGGGCACTATTTCCTGGCTCATTTCTTTCCCGATGATTTAAAGAAAAATGTCAGCGAAACAGTCAGATGTTTTTGTTTGTTTTGTGCGTGAGCTTCACAAGTCTGGTGCAGTCTGTTGACAGTCCAAACGCAGACCTCTGTGAGTCTAACTTTGAATGCTCTGGAACATTTAAATGTAACCTCCCTCTTAGACATGTGGGTATTATGTTGGTGACCATCAAGGACAATCTTGGCGGGCATGTGAATACCTCGTGACTACCACTATGTCTATCTATGCATAATCAGCCGAAGCATACGTTAAAGTGTCTGTTAATGCAGCTCTGTGATCTGCTGTACTGGAGAGGGCCGCTCCACACATCCTGGGTCTCCCACTTCTCAGGGTGCCATTAAAGTAGCTGTAACATCCATGGCCTGACCTCTGCTAAACATGGCCGCGAGACTTCAGTCCACAGCTATCACCTTCTCTCTCCTTGTCTGTTATGTAACAGATTCAGGAGGTGGAAGGAGAGATTCTCAAAACCATGTGACCACAGCATGAACTGTGTATAAGAAATGGACACAACATCATTCAGTTACAACCTTTGGTTGTAAAGTGAAATCGGAAAAAAAGTCAGGAAAACACAACTGCTGTTTTTGAAGGTAGCTCAATCTTAATGAATGTCTGTGGAAATGAAAGGTTACTGTGACTTAGCTGATAGTGGCAGCAAACATTTTCTGAACATAGACATAATATGTTTGTTTACAAAATGGTGTCACACTTACCGCCGAAATGAGAAACTGTTTTAATGAAGAATCTTGTGCCATAATTTTATATAGTGCAAAACCTGGAATTGTACTTAGGTCCTCCATTTTAGGGTCTTAATCATTTCAGGTCAGAAATAAAAACATCTTTTATTTTGTCCCCATTTAGCGGAAAATAGAAGATGAAGCTCACAGCAGTTGGGTGCAGAGAGGAAGTGGTTGTCACTTTGACCATCCAAAGGATGCTTAGCTGTGTGAATTACAAATACATCTACATATTATATGCAACATATACATATTATATACAACAACATCTCTCACTGAGCTTTATCTTCTATCTTTCTGTGAATGGACCTGCAGACAATAAAATTGGTTTTAGAAAAGTAAGTAATTAAAGAAATAAAACAAGTGAAAAGTAGCCTCGCTTCCTCATAAACATCCTTTCATTTTGTGTTATTTGCAGAAGTAACAGAGGTCTTTGAGTCCACTGTCCCCATAGTAACTTCACTACAAGGACAGTTGTGCCCATTTCAAATATACAGTCTGTGGTCAGCAGTGAACCGTGGCCAGAAAACATGGTCTTTGTCCTTTGGTTTATTTTAATAAATGAAAAACGATGTATGACTACATTACTAACAAAAGAAAACAATGTTTTTTTTTAATACAACACAGGTGCCGGACAGCCTGTTAACAACCTGTTTATAATGGTTTAACTGTATTGTAATATGCTAATTCATATAAATACTGTCATTCTGTTGGTCGTAACAATGACACTGGTCTTTGTGTACAGATAATGAGACTTTAGCTCTAGGATCATGTGAGTTCTTGGAGGGTCTGTCTGTTATTTATTTCTTCATGTCTGCAAAGTCACGGTACCGTCAAAAGTCAAAAGTCAAAAAAAAAAGAATCAAAAGAGTTGGTTTGGCTCTACCTAGTGGCAAAGTGTATGTACCACCGGAGCGTTTTGCTGCAGCCAGACCACTGGGGCGTCATGTGTGGGGCAGATGTTCATCTCTGTTTCCTGACTTTGTGTCTTCACACCACCACACGAGCATGTTCTATGAATACTGTCTTGTTTACTTTCTCCTGCTGCACTGATGAGATTCCAGTCTAATCTCGTTATTGCGAGTCATTATTTAGTCCGTGTGCACGGACACGGACCCTCAGCTCATCCTTGTCCAGACATTAGTGTCCTGTGTAACAGACAGGCTCTCACACTCCTCCAGCAACGATTGTGCAATAAACTAAGGTTTATATTTTTAAACATGTCTAAGGAGCATTTATTACACGCATTATGTCACTCATCGTTTACTGCAATACCGTTTGAAAGCCGACAGAGGGAGCTCGAGTCAATCCAGAAAGACCGAAGCAAAGTTGTGTCTAATATTTAGCAATGAACTGAATATATATATATAATATTTAGGACAACACACACACACACACACACATATAATGTGTGTTGATATACTGCTCTACCAGGAATTTGCAAAATTTGCAAAACACCAATTATAAAAAGAATACATCTGAATAAATTCGGAAGAGTTTATGAATTAAGCTCTCAAAATATAATTAACTTTGAATAAATTATTTCTAAAAAATGTATTTCTGTCCTAAATCTAAAAAACTCTTTGAAAATCTAGAATAATTGAAAAATTGACCTTTTCACCTCTGCCAAATACTCAACATCTCTATTGGTAAGTTTTATAATTATTTGAAAGATCTTTCTTTTGATCATTTAAAGTAAACAAGGGTAAATTCAGATATTTTGTTTACTTTTACAGCTACTGTCTCTACCTGTTTACTGCATGGGTGAGTATTCAGGCATATTTGGCTAAAAAAACATGTTTAAATATAAGAAAAATCGCTCTCTATACTTTGACAACTGCAGCAACGATTACAGAAAGACATATACTCTACATATGCAAAGTATTAAATGCACAAATCTTCCATATGTAGTAGAACTGTCTTGCTCTGTCTTTCTACTCTGGTTGGCCTTCGCAGCATTTGAAAATTTCAAACATTTAGGGGAGTCACCTCCCACTTCCACCTTCATTTGAAACTCTCACTTCCTCCTAATTGTTCTGCTGATGTACTTTAACCCTACGACATCTCCTCTGACTCCTCACTCTGGTGTAAGAGTATCAAGTCCACTGCCGGCTCTCCTCGAACAAACCACCTCAGCACACGTACACACAACCTCAGGTAAGTCTGCAGTCGGTCTCACTATCACATCTTTACACCTGCACAATGTCTGTGAGAGCGTGTGATGTCATACAGAGTTAGTATTTTTGAAGTATCCCAGTGATACTGGTGCAAATTTAAAGTTTTGGTGTATTCACACACGTACAAATACACACTGAGGCAGTGATTATTTACATGCATTTGGCCACCTGATCAAACTACACTGCCCTTCATGAAGAGCACTAAGGTGCGGCTGCTTGTTTCAGGAAGTAAAGATCTGCAAATGGAAGTAAAGATGAACATATTCAGTTCTTTACATCTGTCTGGGAGGCACAGTCAGGTCTGTTTGATGAAATGTTTTCTAGTCGCCTGCTGTGATTTGATTCCTTCACAGATTAAATGTCTCTTAGCAAAAAATATATTAGTGTACATTACTGGCACGCGTGACAAAATAGGTAATAGCATCTGAGCGGATGACACAGGAACAGTGACTTCAAACTCTGTGGTTTTGTTGCTCACTCTGAAGGATGTGGTGTAACTGCCATATTTGGGCAATAAATCCAAACCTGTCACCTCGTTGTTGTTTTTTTTTTACAGCGATAACTGTCACATGTCATGTGTTGCCGTCAACCTCTCAACTTTGTGAAGTTCTTCAATATTCAGCCAACAATATCTGCAGCACACATGCTTGCCTGCACCACAGCAGTACAGAGTAGCAGTTAAAGACAGATGAGAGGAAGCAGTTGTGAAAGTTCCTCTTTTTCTCAGTAGTGTCTTCCAGCTCTTCATTTTGGTTCATAAATCACTAATAAATACTTTTTAATTGTGTTATTCAGCCACATGAGTGCAGTGAGACAGAGACTGAAGGAGACAAGTGTTCTGATGAACTCATGTTGACTGTGTTTGTCCCAGTCCACCATGTCCAGGAAGGTTGTAAGGACCAGTAAGTTCCGTCACGTCTTTGGTCAAGGCCTGAAAGCGGACCAATGCTACGACGACATCCGAATCTCCCAGATGACCTGGGATAGCTGCTTCTGCTCCGTTAACCCCAAATTTGTGGCCATGATTGTGGACGCCAGTGGTGGAGGAGCGTTCATTGTGCTGCCTCTGAACAAGGTGGGTTAATGACAGCGTCCCCTCGAACAGAAGAGACAAACATGTTCGCCCTCGGTGCATCTGTGTCTCAAGATCGTTTTTGATCGGCTCAGACAAGCTCTTTTCACACCGTGCCTGGTGTGATCAAATTTAAATAATGCCAGTCACCACCATGCTCTCAACTGAATAAGGAAGTTTGACAGTTTGACTCTTTTTTTCACACGTCACTCACTCTGCAGCGGAGAAGTTTTCACCATATTAGGAGTTTGTTGTCAGCTCAGTCAGGGCAGGATGTGGCTAAACGCTGGTTTTCTGCACAAACTATTGACGTTTGAAAATAAACCAGACGACAATGAAAAAAGGTAACAGTGTTTTTAATCTTTGAAAAGTGATTAAAAACATCTTTAAATACTTTTTTTTCATGTGTTTTTATGTCATACTAGTCTAACCATTTTTTATATTATTATTACTGCAGTTTTAAAACTATTACATATACACTGTGGCATAGTCTGATATTACTCCTGATGTTTGTTTTTGTTTTTTCACACTAAATTCAATTTGAACTATAGTCATACATGTTGCCATCTCACACCACGGTGAATAGAGTCTGTATCCCTGCATGAACTCGTGCCCTTAAACTCCTGGCTCAATCTCAGTGAGGACAAATTTGAGTAAAAAATCTGTGGAATTTGCATCAGCTGACAAACAACAAGTGTCCAAAAATTTATTTTACCTTTCTGTGATTCGTGATTGTATTTACTTTTTAAAGATGCCTTCTTTGTTTGTCGCCAGACGGGGAGAATCGACATGTCCTACCCCACTGTATGTGGCCACACAGGTCCAGTGCTGGACATTGAGTTTTGTCCTCACAATGACAACATCATTGCCAGTGGCTCTGAGGATTGCAGTGTCATGGTAGGACCTCACCAAATCTCATTTTATCATAATATGAAAGAGAATTTTAATGTGAAATGATTTGTAAGTGGTGCATGTGGCTGTGTTGGTAAACAGATCTGGGAGATTCCAGATGGTGGACTGATCACTTCCCTCACAGAACCTGTGGTCAAGCTGGAAGGCCATACCAAGCGTGTGGGCATCCTGAGCTGGCACCCCACTGCCCACAACGTTCTGATGAGTGCAGGTAGTTCACACTTTCTCAGCTGCAAAACAACGCGGGCTTTTCTTGTCAGTCAAGTCACAGCTTCTCTGAACAGGAAGTTGTCGAATCCTCCACCCACCATCTCTACTGAGACGGACAGTAAAATAAATACAAGTGCAGGCAACAGAAGAGAGAGTTAAGAATAAATCTGACTGTGAATGTGCTAAGGTTGAATTATTATCATCTGCAGATGCCAAAATTATATATTTTTTTATGTTTAAAGGAAATGTACAGTTCCCACTCTGATTTCTGGACTTTTTTTGTGTAATTATTTTTATCAGATCCATTTTTTCTTCAGCCATGTCCGCACCCGTCATGACTGTGTTTATTATTGATGCACAGAAATCAGACGTGTTTACCTCATGAATGACGCAGGAGTTTCACAATAAAATACCAAGGTGTTTCATTAGCTCTTCGCAGCCGGAGATTAACCCGGAACGCAGCCCACATTTCTAGTGTCAAAGACAATTGTTTACCCACACAGGCTGTGACAATGTGGTGATCCTGTGGAACGTGGCCCGCGGGGAGGCGGTGGTGAGGATGGACAGCATACACACCGACCTCATCTACAGCGCCTGCTGGAACAGGAATGGCTCCAAAATCCTCACCTCCTGCAAGGACAAGACCATGCGTGTGTTGGATCCACGCAAAGGCACTGTCCTATATGTAGGTCCCTCTCCGTCAGCAGGGGGCTCGCATTTAGTTTAAGTTCTAATACAAATATTCTCTTAATAGTTTTTCAACCGAATTTTAATAAAGACTCAAAAGACAAGAAAAAGATAAAAAAAGTAATAATCTAAACTATTTAACACACAATGTACTGTATATACAGATAAATAGTATTTAAAAACATTATTTAAACAGATGAGGATCATTCAACAGTTTATAAAAATGACCAAATTTTGCTTATTTAATTTAGGGGTTAAATAATCTGTCTTCTTTTAATTTAGATTAATAAAGATTTCACTTAGTGTAAGGAGTCAGTCTACAGAAAAACATCCTTGGTTATTTACACTGCAGGGTTGAGTTCATGATAAAAAAATATATATTTTTAAAAACTTTCATCGTGTTTATGAAGTTTTCTTTTCCTAACTTGTACATGTATTTGACTGTATTCTAACGGCGCTGTCTGTGTGGGTGTGTTTTCTTTCATCACCAGGAGAAGGAAAAACCTCACGAAGGCTCCAGGCCTGTCAGGGCTGTGTTCGTCTCTGGTGAGAAGATCCTCACCACGGGCTTCAGCCGCGTGAGTGAGCGACAGGTGGCGCTATGGGATCCGGTAAGAGTCAACATGGCTATGAAGACTTTGCTGTAACAGTTACCTCTGAGTCGGGCTAACAAATACATGGAAATAGACAAATAATACTTATTATTATCAAACACATTCATTCAAAGTGTTTTTTTCTAAATAAAGATAAATAAACTCTGATGAACCATCTGATTTAGTTAGTGACTAGTTAGTTAAGTTAGGGAAGTTATCACTAGACTCATAACAGAACTGGTTGTAAAAGATATATATATTAGTTTAAAGATATATATAATATTAGTAAAAACAATACAAACTAATTCAAAAACTATAAAATAGGCCAGAAATATTAAAAGGTTAGTAAAAAAAATGTAATCTCACTAAAGCCAAACAACCTGTGACCCAGAATTTGGACACACTTTGTTGAAACAAATATTATTTTTATTTACTTTTGGTTTGCGTTGAACAGTAAACCATATAATGCAATGAAACAATTTTCAGTGTAAAACTTAAAACTAACATCCAGGACAGCGTGTGTCAATCAGATGTGTGTCAACACACTCACGTTTCTCAACGACTGTATTACTGCATGAAGGGCGGCGTCGCCCTGCAACGTCAATTAAATTAACTCCAGGCTTACCTGTGGCAACTCCAGCAGCACTCCTTTATTATAGAACATATTAATATAATATTTATTAATATATTAGTATGTATGCGTGTCTTTTTGCAGAACAACTTCCAGGAGCCGCTGAACCTGCAGGATATAGACACCAGCAGTGGTGTTCTTTTACCTTTTTTTGACCCAGACACTGGAGTTGTCTACCTCTGCGGCAAGGTTGGACTAAAGACGACTGAACAACCGTGTGTCTGTGTGTGACTCGGCCAAACTGACTTGTTTGTTCTAATACTGGTCACAGGGGGACAGCAGTATCCGTTACTTCGAGGTGACCGATGAAGCACCCTATGTCCACTACCTCTCCATGTACAGCAGCAAAGAGAGCCAGAAAGGCATGGGCTACATGCCCAAGAGAGGTCTGGAAATCAACAAATGTGAAATCGCCAGGTAAACAGTCAGAGCTTGAAGAAGGTGTAGCTCTGGTGGTGTCACTACACTCAGTGTACAAACCCTTTCAAACAGAGAGACTACAGTCTTAAATTGTGCTAAAAATTGATCTAAACGATCTGAATAAAATTAGAATGAAAACAGCCTAAAGTCAACCAGCGTTATTATAGCTAACTTTGAGCCGTGTTGTTGGAACTGTCCCAGTGTGAGAGTTAAACAAATCTCTCTTCCATCAGATTCTACAAACTCCACGAGAGGAAATGTGAGCCCATCGTCATGACTGTGCCACGCAAGGTGACAAAGTAAATTGCTCACATCACTGACAGCTGACAGTGTCAGTCAGGGTGAATTTAACTGGCTGTTTGTCTGCCTGTCCAGTCTGACCTCTTCCAGGAGGATTTGTACCCAGACACTATTGGTCCAGAGCCTTCGGTGGAAGCTGACAAATGGTTTGAAGGGAAGGATGCTGAGCCTATTCTCATATCTCTAAAGGATGGGTTTGTAGCAACCACCAAAACTAAAGAGTTCAAAGTTCACAAAAGCCTCCTGAAGACCACCGTTGCCCCAGCCGGGAGTCAACAGGACAACAGTGGGGTGAGATTTTTCAGATTCTATCCATCCATCCATCCATCTGTGTGTGTATATATCCATATATATATACACACACACAATCAACCCTGACTGCAGGGCTTTATAGCACTCCCCATTACCCTCTACTCTCATGTGTCGTAAGTTATTTATTTAAAAAAAAAAATCTCAATTCATGTCTCTGTCTCTGTTTCTCAGGAGGTTCAGTCCTTGAGGAAGGAGGTGAAGGATCTCAAAGCAGCGTTAGAAGAGCTGACCAAGCGTGTGAGCGATCTGGAGAGCAAGTAGTGAAATTAGACAAATGTAAAAAGCTCGCGGACACAGAGAAGAGAGAATTTCTTTTTTTTTTTTTGTAGTATTGGTTCCGACTTACTGGGACCCAAAAGGAGAAGAGAAATCAAAAAGTGTTTTTTATCAGTTTAAATTTGTTTATTCAGTTAGATCCTTTTTTTTCAAATCCTATTTTTAATATATGCTCTTTATTTGAATTAAAGGTCTTCTTTGTTTACACATGTTTGATCTCTATTTGGATTTTTTTATTTTCAGTTAACACAAAAATAGACACGAAACAAACTCGTTTCAGACCAACTTTTAATCATTTGTTAAAAAAATTCAAGAACATACTGGAAATGCACACACATATATTTACTCCCTGAAACCTACTGAGGTGTCTTTGGTTAAAGACTATTATGGTTCATTAACTTCTACTAACGGTTTATTGTTTAAAAATAATATGAGTAAAACAGTAGAAACAATGGTTGACTCAAACAGTATATATCATTTTGATTATTTGATTATTTGATGAGTTTAAAATGGGTTTAAAAATACTACAGTACAAATACATTTTTTACTGTAAAATGCTTCCAACTGTGATGTGCACTAAAAAAACCCATATAAGGACATATAAAATATGTTACTGATTATCTTGGACTTATAGCATATGAATTTTTCCTTTACAGACATAGAGCTTATGAAAAAAAATCCCTGCACCAATGAATAAAAACAACAGCTGAGGAGAAAGATTATCAAAGAAAACTGGAGCTCCCTATTAGTTTATTTACAGACAGTTTTGAAACGGTCCCTAACGCCACCATCTTTGTTCCTTCCCAGTCTTTAACCATCTACACCTCCCTCCCAAACCTTCTTTGAATCTCCAGTCCTTTTTTTTTTTTTTAAAGCTACTACACGTAGTTCTTGTTGGGGGCGGAGGCACTGTTGCTGTAGTACTTGGCCGTTCCACCAGAGCTGCCAGACTTGGGCCTGCTGAAGCAGCACAGCAGTCCTCCAGCCAGAATGAGCAGGGCCCCGGCCCCCCAGCCCACAAAGATACACGCCCCTAACTCCCACTTCTGAGTAGCCATTAATGGATTGTTGAAATCCCGCACGACGTTGTTGGCAGACCAGCTGACCGGGATGATGACCAGGATGCCGGCCAGCATGAGGCCAATGCCGGCCACCAGGCTGATCTTGGGTTTCGCGTCTTCATTCTCCACGCAAGTGGTGAAGTCGGCACCGCAGAAGAGGATGAGGAGGCAGATGCCGCTGAACATGCAGCTGATGATGGTCATGGCACGTGCTGCTTGCAGGTCAGAGGGCAACACCAGTAAAGAATCGTAGTTCTTGCACTGCTGCTGACCGGTACTCTGCACCACGCAGCTCATCCACAGACCCTCCTGACTCACCTGTCAAAATACGCACAAAAACAAGGAACAGTCAAATAGAAGCTGAATATAAGTCTCAGACCGTATAAAGCGCACTGACTTAAACTTAAATCATCTTAACTTTAAATACAGGTATACTAAAAGAAAAAAGGCAAAAATACAGTTACTGGTTAAGAATTACAGGCAACATACTGTACAGCTAAAATGGCTAACGGTTAGCCAGGAAATCTAAAACAAAATGTAACCAAAGAAATAAATAACTCTCAAACTGGAGGTGGTTATGATTCAGTCACAGTTAAGTAAATTAGGTTAATGCCTTTTCCAGTGTGAGGTTAAAAAGGACTTTTGAAAAAGGCTTTTGGTGAAAGAATATGATTGTTATGGGGTAATTTTACAGGTCCCTACTGAGTGAGAGGATGTTTTGAGAGTTAATACTTTGTTTGGAGTAGGGATTAGAATTAAAGTCTGATAAAGTGTTAGTGTTGGGATTTAAACCAGGCATGTAATATTATGTAATATACTTAAGGATTGGCTAAGGGGCAGAGAACGCATTGTGTCCATGTGAAGCTGTAGTCATGTGTCTTAACATACATGTAAATGTTAAATATTGCCTATAAATTCTGAGGCTGTATTTATTGGAAGGTTATTTTATTTCACCTGTGCAGTCACAATGTTGGACCCTGTGAAAGAGGTGACCTTCCAGCGAGGGACAGCAAGACAGACGATGGTCCCAATCAGGCCAAGGACCCCGAGGGCCACACAGACAATCTGGACTCCAACAGATCCCATTCTAAGGAAAAGACAAAAAACGATACGTAAGTTTGTGTATACTGTATATAATACTTGCATGTAAAAATCCTGTAGGTTTTTGAGATGATGTCTAGCGCATCCTCTAGTGGTTACACAAGATAAACGCATGACCAAGAGGCTTTTATATTTGTTGTTAGAATATCCTTATTGTGAAAGTACAGTAAATACTTGTAACTATTATTGTCCAATATGTGGGAGGAAACACAGTTCATGGACAGACAGCAGAACTTCGCCAGGCCTCACATGTTAATATCACCTCGGGCTACATATTTTGAAACACACTCTTGTTCAGACAGGCCCAGATTTCCTGATGCTCCACCCTGGACTGACTGAACATCTCCCTCCCAGGTTTTAACTTTAAAGACTACTGCAGCCTTTCTTTTTATGTTTTTTTTTTTATAGTTCGGCATCATCCAAAGAAACAACCCCTGAAAAGTTTCAATTAAATTTTATGGAGAGAAGTTGATAATATAAAAAGTAATATAGCTTAATTAGTCAGATATTATTTTAGGGAAACTTAAAGCAGTTAAATACAATTAGACCCATTTAAATTTCAATGCCTTATTTCAATGCACATAAACACTAATGGCTGAGAGAAATGTGAGGGATTAATGGTAATAGTTTTCATTTTTACCTTTTTAGTAAATTAACATTTTGAACTGTCTGATTTTTTTTAGTTTCCCACCCACACACAGCACTATAGACACAGACTTGTGCAAAGTTTGTTGTTTTCTTGCAGTCTTTCAATGATAAACATTTAGCTAACCACATTAAGTCAATGACCTTTAAGAAATGTAAAAGAGAAAGAAAGAGAAGCCAAACAACAGAAAGTGCAAAAAGTGCTAATTATTTAAACAGAATTCTGGCAACCCATCTTAAATGACAAATTACAAGCAAAGCAAACACTGAAGGCAGTGGAATTATATTTGGATTTATCTCCTGGATATTCATACATTTATTTTGAGCTGTGTTCAAAGATGGATAAAAACTTTTTTCCTGATAAAATATTAATGTTTAAATATCATATTAATGTTTTTTTCTTAAAATTACTTTTGTTTAAAATCCTAAAACAACGCTCTTATCTTTTACATCATTTACACTTTTGCACTTTTTGTTTTTTCACACTGCAACTAAATAAGAAGTGAATGTGTAGTTAATGATGCCTCTTACCTTTTCTCCTCTGAAGCTCACGTGAAACCAAAGAACCAAATCAGTTGTGTATCTTTTTTTCTTCTCTGTGAGGCTTGTTTTTGTGGATGCTGCTCTCCAATATATGAGGTGTATTATCGTATGATGAGTTTTTGTAGAGGAATGTAAGGTGAAGGGTGGGGCTGAGAGCTGATAGGGGAGAACATCAGGGGGGTGTACCCGAGTACCAGACTGGACTTGTCTTGTACGCATGTTTCCCTCTCTTTTTCCACCTTTGTTACAGCTTACTTCACCTGGAGACGCTCAGTTTTTTAACGGAATACAAAAAGGGATGTAATCGAGTTTTCGAGTACACAAACTATCAGAAAGTCATTCATAGACATGTTGCTATGATTCCAATGAGAACAATGATGCAAGTGATGATGCAGAATGAATCATTTTGGTTGGATTCACAACAGCTTTCCAAATATAAGAAATCTGAGTCATCGAAGGGCACGACCTTTCTTCTCCTTCAAACACATAAACACCACCTCCAGGCTTCTACCTCTACTGTCTTCACCAGCCGCCTCCTACACCTGTGTGTCGAAACTGTGGTGAGGAGGATCCAGACTGAGTGGGTTTGAGTTTTGTACAAGATTACAAAACATGTTCTATGGCTCAAGGGGAAATAAAAAAAAAAGCACAATACATGTTGTGAAAGCACACAGTATATATACAGTACAGACTCATGCCTATATGGTAATACAAATGCACATGGGAAACTGTAATCTTCAATTGAAGAAATTTAGATCTCACTTAAAAGAGCTAGTAAGAGGTGAATATTTCTATGGACAAATGTGTCCAGGTGAGGGTAGAATTTGGAGTTAAAAAACTCCAAATTGTATTGTATCATTGCAAAAATACTTAAACCAGTCTGTAGTCAAGAGTCAACATTTCCGACCAAGAAAAACATCTGCCAAAGAGACACTTCTAAACCAGACTGAAGAATGCTAATGATGACCTGGAGACAGAAGACACATACCATGAGGATGGGAATCTTTTGCCATAACGACGTTCCCTATGTTTGTAGAAGGTAGGGATGGGCGTACAGACACTGTGTCCGCAGTGAAACATAGAGTTGGAAGTGAAATGCTGTGAAGATTATTCAGTGCACTCAAAACTGGCAATCTTGTGTGGGTGGAATGAAGAATAAAGAAAGAAAAATATGACATTTTTAAAAAAAAGGTAGAAGCACAAGCAGTGAGCAGCAAAACTGGGTCTTGATTTTGTCCTACTGCAATACTACGATCCAATACATACTTAACCCTGGCGTCAGTCGAAGGTTGGTGCACTCTACACTCTTGACGGGTCCTTCCTCCATCACAAGTCCACCTGTTGTGTTTTTCTATTCAATTAACTAAATCTCCATTCTACACCAGGGGAAAATCCCATGGACCATGGTGAGAACATTTAATATCCATACATAGTTTGTTGTTAAAGGTGAATAATATTGACCTTGATTTTATGGGTATTAGAAAAATAAGTACTTAATAAGTTTTCCCTAAGTGTGTGGCTTTTCGGGAGAAGGAGCACAGATTATATCTACTGGACTCTGTAAATTGACCAGAATGATTAATGTGAATGCCTCAGTGAGAAAAGCCTTTGGTCAAAGTTCTATTTCAGAAATATTCCCAAAGTGATAACAAACAAACAAAAAAAATATTTGAAAAAATATATATATAGCAGGGCAAATTACTGTTAATTCTGTTTTGGTGAGAAAATAAAAGTATTTCCATTTTGCATGGTTCAGTTAGGAAAGTCTGCACCCAGGTACACTGTTGTCATTTATCAGGAAAAAGCTTGGTAGGTTTATATGGTATGATTGCTCTGGCCCTGGTCTCAGTTGTCAAGTGTAATATTTTACAATGTCATATAGTTGAATATCAATGAAACGGATTTAAAAGCAAACATCTTAAGCCTATCTCAACATCTTAAATATTAAGGTTCAATATTGTGCACAGCATTTTTTCCCGTTTTAGTAATAATACTGACAACAAAAGTTTAAAGAAGCAGTTTTCTTCAATTACAATTAGAATACAATAAGAGTTACAATTAGAATACATATAATACAAAGTTAGTATTCTATGTTTTTAATTTGTAAATATGAAAGCTATGAACAGTAGATTTTATTCACTGGTATTTACTAATGGTATTTACAAGTACTGGTATAACATTGTTTTAGATAAAACTAGTCCTGTAAATTTTTAATAGCAAAAATATTTAATAAATCTAGTATATCAAAAATTAAAGACATAATTCGAAATAATTTGACTTTTCGAATTTGGAAATTGCTACTGCACATTTTACTCTAAAATAATTATTTAAAACAAATACTATGTCATATACGTTGTAACTTAAGGTTTTACCACTTGTAGGCGCTATTTGAGCTTGTATTTAAAATCTGCCGTTAAAAGTGCCGGCTGTGGGTTATGTCTGCGATAGACCAGGCGTTGGTCCAATCAAATGTGAAAAAGCGAGTTCTAATTTTCTACATCAAGCCAATCGAATTTCGAGAAACGCTGACGCACTCGGTTTTGACTCTGCCTCCCTCTTCAACGTAGTCTCCTCAGCTGAAACGGTTGTACGTTAAAGTTCTTGAGGGAAGGAAGTGAAGTGAGATACCACGGAGGAAAGGGGCCAAGCATAGGTGTACGGTTTATCAACATTTGGAAAATATTAATTCCACAAGCGGAAGGGTGAAAACAAAAATTAGGTATGTTTTATCTATTTTGACTTTAAAGTTAGCCGACTGTTAGTGATTTATTTCAGTTAGCTTTAGGCTACTAGCTAGCTGTAATAGCATTAGCTCGTATGAGCTCATTGATTGTTCAGACCGACACCATTTGTCTGTTTTGTTAGTTTGACAGTTTTGGGCCTAACTGCCTTTTTCGTTTTGTGTGACAATATACATGTCAGGGTCCTTTTCTAAATCAAATTTTGTAATATTAGGTGCAGCACGGAAAACCAAGTCTCTACCGCTTGAGAACGTCAGAAAATAAAGAAAATGGCGGAGCCGGACAAATTAAACATCGACTCCATAATTCAGCGTCTACTAGAAGGTAAAGAAATGATCTCCACATAGTTGCATTCTTGCACAGTGAACATTGTTTTACGATGATGCCTGTATGGTGTTTTTATGTGTGTATTTTCTGACCTAAACAGTTAAATATGGTGACGTTATGCCGCGGTAACCTACTTCACTTGATGCTTGTGATTCTTTACGATCAGTCATTTCTCCCTCTAATTTTTAGCTTAGTCGCATGATGCGGCTATCGTTTCTCATCAACGCTCACCGATTATTCGGGTCTTAATGTGGTCCAGTGGAAATTCTGTGATTCCCAGTGTTAAATCGGTACAACAGCGACTTGTAGTATTTCTAGATCATCTTAGCTGTTGGCTCGGTTTTCATAAACTTGAGCCACAGTCCTTTTTTACTTCCTGTATTGGCTTTCCCCAGAGCTTCTCACATTCTTGTGTAGAACACGTTTGAATGGATACACATGGTGTAACTTTTTATTTTTAATTTATAGAATCGCCTTCTTTTTGGTTAATAATCAAGCTAATGCAGTATGAAGTGATTAGTTAGCTTCGTCTGTGAATCATTTCTGTGACAGAGGTACTCACAAAGTTTTGTTGTTGATACAAACTGGTGACATGGATATGGAAACAAGAAACGGGGTAGACATTAAAATGCATATTATTGCATCATTGTAATTTGCAATAAACAAATACAAGTGTAAAATTTAACTACATTAGTTTTTAATCTTTTTGTACGTAGCACATTAATTTTATAAGAACAATTGTTAACTGCTAAATGATAGTTGCTATGTTAAATGTAAGCAGTCACCCTTTGCATATGTAACTGCATAAGAAAACACTCAAACACAACCGATATGCAGTTGCTAATTTCACACACTGCAGTCCTAATCCTTAGTGTATGACATAAAGAGAGCATCAAAATCACCTCAGAACACAGTAATTCATGGTTCTCTGAAGTGTCGTCTTTCTGTGTTCACCAAGAGATTCAAACAGAAGATGCTTTTTAGGTTTAAAATCTTCTCATGCCCATTGTATAGGATGTGTTGAAGTATTTGTTGTGGTTGGTGCTGCATGTGTGCGTGTATGGGTAAAAACAGCACCATCCACATGATGATTGTGTAACAGCAGCAGCCCCAAGGACATTAAACAGAAGCATAAATCTCTTCACAGTCAGCGGTACAGTTTATCTAGAGCACTAGAATCAGTAGTGTGCTCTCTGTTTGCTTTTGCTGGGCAGGTGTAGAAATGTTGCATGCTTTTTGTATATACTGTCTTGTTTCTTATGTGAAAATGTTGTACAGAAACATTTTTGTGTGACTGTTTTACAAAACAAAAATTAAACAGAACATTTAGTTCCAGTTTGGAAGATGTTCTTATCAGCGGGGTAAAACATTGCTAATAAAAACCACCTTTGCACTCACCTTGTTTACTTTTTATAACATGGATTCAATATGACTGATCCTGGCTGAGCTGGTCGAGGTGACTGGGATTATTCACAATTATGCACAGCAATCGGTTGATGTGTGTCTTTGTAGGTTGACTTTGAATGTGGACCCTGCAGCAGTGTTTTGTACATAGGTTTGTTTTGCTTGACCTGTGATAAGATTGTGTGCCAAACACAGAAGGAGACTCATAGTGGCTGTATTTATATCCTGTTATGTAACCCCCTTGACCTTTTTTCTGTGCTTTTTTTGCTGAGACTAAGTCCTCACACTAGTTGTTATTACACTGGAAGTACAGCAGACACTAGACAAGAATAGCTGACCCAGTGCAGGTGCTATGTGAAAGTTTGATGAATTGTCTTACATAAGCTTAATAGTATTTTGTGTATAGAAGGTATCCCCCACCAACCCTCTCCCTAGCTTGCTGACTGTTTTTGAGGCCAAACCAATTAAATGTGTTTGGTTAATGGATGCTTTCAATTGGATTACTGGCATGGAGTGAATTCTGGGAGTGAGTGTTGTTAATAGCATGTCCGGAAAGTGTGACAGCACATTAATCCTAAGAAGAACATCTTGTAGCACTGAAAAAAAATTATAGGACCACACTGTAACATCTCAGACAAAGCAATCACTGTTTAGGCCCAGTGGTCGAGCTCTTTCTCTGCCATTTCCTGGTCAACAAAAGTGCAACACTTTTTGTGCACATGCCCCGTGGGGGGCTTGTTGCCCTCTGGTTCTGAATAACTCTGGCATGAGATCTTTGAGGGCTTATCTTATCTTATCTTTCTGGAGTCCATGTCTAAATTGACAATGCTTTACAGTTTTCATTTCCAATTCTCAGATTTTAACTGTTTTGGTTTTAGATTTTATGAAGGAAATTTTTATTTATTTATTATAAGTCAACCACACAAAGTTGTTCTTATTTTAATTCAAAACAGTCCAATTACCAGAGACGGATGAGAAAATAGGATCAATGGATCACATTGTGGAGGCCAACAGAGGCTAACATTGAACTGCTCCTTAAATTCAAACATCCCAATGCGTTTAAAGTTACTTTTATGACTGAAAAGTTGATGCATTAGACTTTAGACACTAAAGTGTTATGTAATCTGTGGGGTTGTAATTTACAAGTTAAGATATTAATTTTCAGGTTGGAAGGAGTTTTGCACATATAAATAAAGCATTGTGAGTGGAATGACACTGTCTGAACAGCTGAGCATGTTAAGATTGATGGCTCTATGTCAGTAAAGATCAGTGTGTTATTAAAGCAGCTTTTTTTTACACTTAGAAACACCTTTCAGTTGTGAGATCAAACTAAATGATACGTTCTGTAAAATTGTAGTACTATAAAACCTATAAAAATGTGCAGCTTGGCCTGAGGTGTTTTTTTTTTTTTTTATTGTTTTTTGAAATAAGAAGAAGAATAACCAAACTGTGAAATAAACCCCAAATGTTCAGAGACCCTTTATGGTGTTCTTTAAGGCTTCTCAATTGTTTCTAACCCCTTTAACTTTTTTGTAAGTAATATGGTTCATTGTGGTGCGTCTGTTAATGAAGACTTAGTTGAGTCTGCCAGTGATACAAACAAACTAGATTCAACACTGCATGAGACACAGTCTTTCACAAGATCAGTCACACACCAAACCATGTGAATGGTTAAATGTTCTGATCTAGAAGAATGAGATAAAAACGTGTGCTTTTTTGATTATTTTTTACAAAGGGAAGTTTTACATTGACCTTGCCTAAGACAAGACAAAAATCGGTTCGAAACATTATAGCTCTTGTTTAGGTCTACAAAAATGTACCGTAAGTATTGTTTGACTTCACAGTGTATGAAACAGCCAAGGAGAGACTTGACAAACCTGTTAAATTCTTAAGATTACACTCAGAGCATGGAATGGTGGGAAGGTTTTCTTTTTTTTTAATTTGATTGTATAATCAATTTTAAGAGACAGCTGTTTTTTATTTTATTTTTAGTTTCAGTAGTTTGAACTATTCATTAATGTTAAACAGTAATTTGTTAGCCATTGTTCCTCAGCAGTGCTTACTGAGTGGACTAATTTTGTATTTGCTTTGTCTGTGGTGCAGGTAATCCACACAGAACAAGAAAGTGTGTTTCACATCTAATTTTGAGGCATACGTTATCAGACTGTTATCCATCTTTGCACATTAGTCTTATTATCTAATGTAAAATCTAAATGATCTCACATATTGTTAATGCTGTGTATTTTATGAAAATTTCTTTACTTGGTTAATCACATATCTCAGGTGCATGAACTGTCATGATTGGAACCTTTTCATGTTTTACTCTATGTAAATATCAAATGACTTGGAGTGTGAATGTTTTTTCACTGACTTGAGGGTAACGTCTGCAGCCAGTCCTGCCGTAGTGTATGTTGAAAGTGATCTGATTTTACCTTTTTTATTTCACTGGAAGATAAAGTACATTTAGCTTATTTGAGCCCGTGTGCTAAATGTGTTTGTGTTTTTAAAAGAAAAACTGAAAGAATTTAACATTGAAATGTGCAATTTCACACAACAACATCAACACCATTTCTTACAGTCTTGAATTAAGATCTCTGTAGTACTATGTATCCTCTAACAGCACATCTGACTATTTTTCTGACTTTCAGTTAAAGGCTCCAGGCCAGGGAAAAATGTCCAACTGACTGAAGGTGAAATCCGTGGCCTTTGTCTCAAATCCAGAGAAATCTTCCTGAGTCAGCCAATTCTGCTTGAACTGGAGGCTCCACTAAAAATCTGTGGTGAGAAATTTTAATCAGTGAGATTGAATGTTATTATGTATAGTATAGTATCGTTTTAATACAAGTGTTTCTATTGACATACCAAAATATTTCTTATATTTTCCTAAAACTTATGACTTTCTCATGTAGACCAACTAACGTTCACACTTATCAATAAAGAATGTCTAACTTTTACCTTTCTGCTGCCCCCTGCAGGTGATGTTCATGGCCAGTACTATGATCTGCTACGACTGTTTGAATACGGAGGTTTCCCTCCAGAAAGCAACTACTTGTTCCTGGGTGATTATGTAGACAGAGGAAAGCAGTCACTGGAGACCATATGCCTGCTGCTAGCTTACAAGATTAAGTACCCAGAGAACTTCTTCCTGCTGCGCGGGAACCATGAATGCGCCTCTATTAATCGAATCTATGGCTTCTATGATGAGTGTAAGTTCACTGAACAACAATACAAGGTTTTACTGACAAAACTGTCATTTTGGGTTTTTATTTATCTTAAAAAATTTTCTCTTGTTGTCAAATGGCAAATAAATCTCTTTATGTCATAAAATTTTTTTTTTCTTTGTCTTGAAGGTAAACGACGGTATAATATTAAGCTGTGGAAGACCTTCACAGATTGCTTTAACTGTTTACCTGTGGCTGCCATTGTAGATGAAAAAATATTTTGCTGTCATGGAGGTTGGTCTTTTAAACAATCAGTCACCCTAACATTGTAAACCTAGATGAGCGAGCATGCAAAGTTTTTAAATTTCTACATGTCTTTTTCAGGCCTGTCCCCTGATCTTCAGTCAATGGAGCAGATCCGCAGAGTGATGCGACCCACAGACGTGCCTGACCAGGGTTTGCTGTGTGACCTGCTTTGGGCCGACCCAGACAAAGACGTGCTTGGCTGGGGTGAAAATGACCGTGGTGTCTCCTTCACATTTGGGGCAGATGTAGTGGCCAAATTTTTGCACAAACATGATATGGACCTAATATGCAGGGCCCACCAGGTAATTTCATTGACTTGATTCAGACGTGTATTTTTCCTTTTTAAATGAGACTTAAACAACATCATCTATCTAGTATCTAGTCTAATATCTAGAATTTAGGATCTATGATTTGACAAAACCAACCCACGCTGATGGTACAAATCTATACACACAGATTACAGATTTGCTTGAAATACATGCTCTTATCATGGATTATAAATTTGGATGGATTATTGTATAAATATAAATTCATACTCTGCATGCATTATTTTTCCCATATATTCTATTTTAATTTTAGAGCTGTCTAAAACATCTGTTAGTTCTTAATATGAATGTCCATACTATAATTTATAAAACATTCCTTATGTCCTAATTTTTCTGCTTGTTGACTGAGGTTTTAAACTTTTATTAATGATTAACAAACAATAGCACATAACACAACACAGTTCACCCACTGACTCTTTTTTATTGGTGACCTTTATTGACATTTTTCCCTGTTCTTAAGGTTGTAGAAGATGGTTATGAGTTTTTCGCAAAGAGGCAACTCGTCACCTTATTCTCAGCTCCTAACTACTGTGGAGAGTTTGACAACGCCGGTGCAATGATGAGTGTGGATGAGACGCTCATGTGCTCCTTCCAGGTCTGTGTACAAAAGTTTTTGTATATGTCATGAATGAATGGCGTTCAGGAAAAACTTGAAGCTGCTTATAAAAAATCCTCTAAAATTCTTCATTACCAGATTAGGATGACAGCCAAGGTTTATTTTTATTTTAATTTCTATAAAACTAGACCTTCTCTTTCTCTTATAGATCCTAAAGCCGGCAGATAAGAAATTGTATTACGGTGGAGGGGGAGGAATGGGATCTGGGAGACCGGTCACTCCGCCGCGAAATTCAGCCAAGGCTGCCAAGGCCAAGAAATAACACCCACTGGGTTTCCCTCCAGCAACCTGCCACCTTCTATTGGCCTAGTGCACCTTTTTATTTCCTCTACCTCCCAAACTTGTTTATCCCACTATACCGAAAACAAACAAGTGTCCAGGGTTCAATTATAATTTGTCATGTTGAAAACAATTTTTAACAGTTTGTTTCGGCTTCCTGTATGTAATGTTTATCTGTGAGAGAGAATGTGTTTAGAAAGTGCAAATTATGTTGAAGGAAGTTCAATATTCTGTAAGTCCCTTTTTCTCTTTAATTTCGTGGGATCTTCAGTTTTTCTTTTTATTTTGTAGAGATTAGTTCTCACCTGTCTAAAGAAAATTAAAACCTGGGTGCTTGGAGGGGAGGGACAGGGGAGTGAAGGGAGAGTAGGGAGAGAAGATAATGGAGACGCCTTGGCTGTTTATGCTCTGAGGCCCTGCGCTGTTTAATGTTAAACACAAGCTTTTGTTACATCATGTATCAGAGGTCTGTGTGTGTGTGTCTATGTGATGATGGATGGTTGGGGATGAAATGAGGGCGGGTTCATGTTGCAGGGACACAGGCATCGGCGCATTACAAAACACTGATGAATTAATGGTTGTGAATCCTCGGATATTAATGGGTTCACAGTGGGACCTTTTCTTTCAATTCAGAAAATATGAAAAAGTCATGGTCGTGAAATGTTTTGTTTCTTTTGTAGATAACTGAAATCAAATTTCCATTTTTTTTGACTTTCCCCACCTTTTTGTTTTTAGTTCACGGAAACTGAAGATGAATAAAAATCACCATTTATTTGAATCATAACATAATGCTCATCACTTGTTTCATAATTCTTTAAAGAGACTATGTTCTGTTTTTATACCTGTAAATAAGCTTTGACTGGAGCACAGAGTAATTGGACGTGAACAACAACTTTAAGAACACAATGACTTTTCCTCTTTGACTTTGGGGCAAAACTCCTGGACATTTGACTTGTGTCTACCATTTTCACAAATCTTAAGACTGCATCCTGACTCACCTGGAAATTTTCTTTGGTGACAATGGCACTGTCTCTATATTTGAAAACATTTCTGATTTTCACTTAAAGTGGTTATACAAATTTGACAGATTTACCTACAGGGAGGGATGAACCAAAGTAATTCAACATTAGTCTGGAAAGTCAGATGTTCTGTTATTAAGGGACTTTTTTTGTTCCATCAAAATCTCGGTAGTTAAATATTTTTAGCAGAAGGCTTAACAGGGAGGAATACTGGAGCAAATTATCACTGGACTTCTGTTAATCACAGATCTGAAAGCTCGCACCACAGGGTCACATCCATCATCCCATGTGCACTCATTGTCTTTAGCAAGTTATGTGCTGTTGATACTCAGAATGTGTAGTCAGAATGCCTTCCGATGAATTTTGGGTATTAAAAGATGAGGGGGTGGTGATTAAATGAACACCGACTCTTAAAGGAAAAATTGTGTCAGATTTCCACACGAAATACTAGAGGGAAAGGGGAACGTTTTGTTCAACACAACATGGCATTCCATTTGTCAAGTGCTTTTTTTTTTTTTTGTACCTCAGGTCATACAAAATATATTGACAAGTGCTTGTCTTAAAAAAGAACCGAAAAACTAAGGCAGCATTGTGCTTGTTTAACTCTTATTAACGTCCTGTGGTCCTGGTGCTTGGATGGAGTAGGACAAGTCAGGGGAAACCCATTATTTTTTCTTTTGTCCCAGTGTTGATTGGTGATCAGGCTGCAATCTAAAAAAAAAAAAAAAAAACGACAAATAAACAATGACAAATATTCTGTTTTTCGGTATTTAATAATGTCAACCTGTGACATCAAACCAACGACGGTGTTGAAAACTGCAGCACTTCTCCTTTTAGTGAACTTGTCAACAAGTTAATTTGATCTGAGAATTTATAAAAAAAAAAAAAAAGAACAATGGACTTATTTAGGAAATAAATTATTTAGGAAAACATGTAAGCTATAACTAGGAAGGGTGAAAACACATGGTTGTAATGCACTCAGCCCTTTACATCTGAATTAAAGCACAAATCTTTAATTTTGGTTTTGAAATTTCTTTCCCACTTGTATGGTTGATATGGTGTGGTTGTTGATATTGGAGTTATTTCCAGGTTGAACTGAAGATTAACCAAAACTCTTATTTAACTCTTTGTTGGACAAATGTACATAAAAAGGAAAACATCCTATGATCCTGTGTAAACTGAGCCCTTGGACGTTTGAATTTAAACTGGTCACAATTCTGTTTCAGCTTCCTACAGGATAACAGGAAGTATTTGACATCCCCTAAAAACTATGATACTTTTCCTATTTTCTGCAAATTGCAGGGTCTCTTGTCAAATCCATACCAAATATGTATGGTTCAAGACAAAAAAGAAGTGGATTCTGTACAGAGTTTGAACCAATTTCTAAATCCTACACAAAAATGGAATGCCATCTTTCAGCCCTTTCCTTACTTGTGCTCTGATGACTTTCTTTTTTGAAACAATTCTACCTAAGTGATTCACTATTATCTTGGCAGTTGTTCTGGGAAAATTTGAAATGTATTAATTATTTTCTTTCTACAACTTTTCATTTTCTGCCACTGCCAGATTTCTTCCGCCAAGTGTGAATTCTTGTACAGCTCCGTAAGCTAAAAACATCAGCTAACAACAGCTTGGTAAGCTAACAGTTTTTATATCTCAGATGTTGTGAGAGGTTAAAATGTTTGTTTGTGTGCAACATCTATATTTACATCTATTTAGTTGCAAACATCTACAAAAACCCTGGTTTTAACGCCAGTTTTCACGTGAAATGTTTTAATACACACTTCAAAAAATGTCACCCTTTTTGAGTTGTTGAAGTAAATATAAAGACAAGTATTTAAAAGTTATTTCATCCACTATTGTTTCTGTCAGAAGTTTTTTAATCTGTACCTCAAAAAAATGGCATCATGTTATGCTTTCTAACAAACTAGTTTAAATACAGTGCAGCTCATTTTTGCATCAGGTATTATATATATCGGTGTTGTGTTTGGTGTGAAAGCAACGATATTAGATGTGTGTGCTCATAAATAATTCACATCCCGTTAAGATCAACTCAGGAAGTGAGGAAGTTCAGTGTTGTGACTCACTCTGTGTATTATGAAGCATACAAAGCACCTTTACAACAGGTTCTGTGCCACTCAGTTAGCTTACAACTTCTCTGAGGTATTCAGAGGTTGAGTATGCAGGAATATGGAAGTTCTGTGTTTAGTGCTGGTGTAGTACACACAGAACATTTAGCGCCCCCGGGGTTTCCTGCAGGGGTTTCTGTAAACACAGTTTGAATGCCCTTGTTGTATCTTTTTAGAGTAGCCTCCACAAATACGAAAATGCTAAATTTTCATTTTTAATATTAAAAACACGTTCAAAAAATTGATTATAATTAAAGATGAAAACATTTAAATAATTCATAATTACTTCTACTATGAGATTAGTGGCAGCTAAAGTTGCATTACTGACACCTGCTGGGCTCATTCAGGTAAACATTTCAGCCCATAATTAGCCAGGGAGGATAAAAACAGGCCACTCTGTCACTGTTGATATGTAGAAATAGATTTTAATTTTTAAAAAGTATTTATTATTTTATATTTTCTGAATTTCCTGCATATTCTCCCTTTAACAAGTGTGTTCAGCTCTGTGTTGCCATCCTGGTCATCGACCCACTGCTCTAAAGGTTGTTTCTTTTGATTTGTAAAAAAAAATGTTGAAGATCTGCTTTTTATGGCTTTACTTTTTTTGATGAGATGTATAGTATATGTGATAGTAATGTAAAGAAATGTATGTAACACAAACATTAGAAGGATAAAATATGTATAATAAGGGTCAAGTTTTTCAAAGTAACTCTGTCTTCATCTATTCTAAATACTTAGATGACTCATACAGGAATCCATATAAACGTATACAACTTTGTAGAACTTTGCATCTAATTGAAAGGTACAGCAATGACCATTAATATTTACGTTTCCTTCGCTGTAAATATTCCTGCTTAATGTTTAATTTTTTATTCTTTTCCCACTTTTTCCAATCTGTTATTTAATTGTTTTAATCTCTAATCTTATTTTAGATTTTTTAGATAATCAATCAGGGATGTTCTGCACAATACACTGTTGCTGGTAGAGAGAATAAATGGTTGATTGTCAGTATTGCTTATAAAAACAAAAAGCAGAAATTTACAGTTCGTTTATCTGCTTTTTGAAATGAACACAAATTGTTTCTGTTAAAAGGTAGAAATAAACAAGTGTTTTTTATTTGTGTGTTTTCATTTTTCCAACTATAACATCACAAATATTCATTAAGCACTCAATTGTACTGGAATTATCATTGTATTGTTGTAATTAGCTGTCTAATTTATAGAAATCTTTCAGTTTTTTGGTGTACATAGTCCTGCACAAAGATGCAGCAGAACAAATAAAAAAATGTAAAATGGATGTGGCGTGTGACGTTCGCTTTAAAAGCCACAGGTGTACGAAGTTATTAGAGTCTCAACCTGGTCTGGATGAACGGCAGAGATAAAAATGTAAGTATATATATTTTTTCTCTTAATAAAACTGTAATGACACGTAACTTGCTTAACTGTACGTGCGACAATCGCACGTACACCCTGGTGCCCTCTGCTTGGCTCATGAGTAATCTCCCTGAATTATGAAGACAGACAGACGTGAATAAGTCTCCTCTAAATTCCAAGATCACACTTATTACACCAAAACACTGAGGAACACAACAAAAACAAAACTCAGTGAAAAGACTCCCAGGAGGTGACGTCATTAACTGTCTGGAAACCAACTGTATAAATTCCACAGTCTTTGTGGCAAATAGAAAGATGGGTGTTTTCCACTCCTACGTCCTAGGAGATTGTGGTTGCTGTGAACATGAATGAGACTATGTGAAATATGCAGTACTACTATTCTAGCTTTTTTTCTTTTGAGAAAAAAGGGGGACAAGGGATTCATGCGAGGGATAATCTCCCAGGTGGAGAAGGTTCTGAGGGCAACTGGCCCCCACTCACATTCCTTTCTGTTGACAAAATTGTCAAAACAACTGGTAGTGCACACAACCACATACAGCAATGATCTCGAGAGAGTAGACATTTCACCGTGGTGTCTGAAAGAGGAATAAACAGGATAACGGAAACAAAGCTTTCACAACTCGAAGGTTTAACCAAATTATTTGTGCAAACAATGGTAGGTAGTTCCATGCTGAACACAGTGATGTGATTTTGTCTTTTTCAGTGAATAACCCAATTGTAAACATGAAGTTTATTGCAGCACATGTTTGAAATATGTCTTGACACTGAATGGCAAAGATAAATGTAATTTGAACAGGTGGTTTCAGAAGTGCAGACAAAAAGGGTGGGGCAGGTGGAGAGTAACAAAAGAAAATCATCATTGTAATGCAACAGTGCCACTGTTGCCAAACCAGTATTGCAAATGCTAAGATTTTTATTGATTTTACAAGAATATTTCAATAGTGTGTGGTATGGAATGAAACGTACACGCACTTTAAAAATAAAGATAGTAAAGCAATGTGGAGATATATTGAATTAATGATGTTGGAGGCGCAGCTGAATAGCTGAGGATAAAGAAGACATCTGAATTTCAGATGTCTTTATACCTACTCCACCCGCCCTTCTTGGTATCATCTGCAATATAAATTAAACGCCTTAATTTCTTAAAACATTCACTTTTGTTTTATTTTACCAATGCACTCAGACATGTATACGCACGACATTAGTGGTTGCTGCATCTGGCATTAGATAAGGTAAATACAATAAGTGTTGTGTGGACAGAAATGTTTTGTTTTAACTGCTGCTGAGAGCGTCTCTGCTGTATAAACAGTATTTCTTCACTACTCTTAGCTGGGGACAATGTACGTGAGGAAACACTCCCCTCCGTTCCCTTATCAACACAGTAGTAAACTAAACACACACTAGATGGTTTGCAACCCTCGTACAAATTCGACCAATTGCAGAGTCCAAAACCAGACTCACAATTTGACTTGTAAAATTGACCTAACCTACAGCGAATCAGAAAAGGGGTGGGCGTGGTCTATGACTAGTTTGGTAGCACTGGACTGAGTAGCTCTTCAACTTTTTCTACTACAGTAGACCTATGCTAAACACTATAGATAATTATTGTACGAATACAATTTTGGATTTATTTTATCGTCGTGTGCGATGTACAGCTAGGCTCGAATATCCGACGTGGGACCTTTCTATTCACTGCACACCAGTGAATTCCAAAATTGACGGGGATACTCCTCCATTTTCGAATGCGGCTGCCCGGGCTAGCGGAAAGCTAGTCAGTTATGCAGCTAGGCTAAGTTTCACTGCGAGACCGACAGAAACCAGAGCAAGCGGACTGCTTGCTATACATTTCCCATCGAACCAATCTCTCGCTGACTACAAGACTCCCAGGTATGTCGACGTAATGCTCGTCTCCGGTGTGTATCGCTTTGAGAGCGCTTTGCTCTACGGCTTTAAACCCTGGCTTCCAGTACCTGTTTTCCTACTGAGACATCGGTGCAGTCAAATAGACAGCTAGCGCTCCCGTGTTAGCCCCTCATCTCTCAGCTGATAACACACTGTATTTACTGTGCTGTACGACATGCTAAGCTAGGTGTGCTACGGGAACTACACGGGACCTGTACACATTCCGACCAAGTGATAAACAGTCCCCAACGGTTTAATGCGCAACGTTTTGCATAGTTAACATTCCTGCATTAAGGCACTAGGTGTCTTGTGTTAAATTCAGACTGGGTCGTTATTCAAGTGTTTCAGTAGAAGATGATGGTTTATTGTTGTTGTTGTCATAGTCATAGCCTTATTGCACTACTACCCTGCAGCATGCTGATGGTGGGAGGCAATGGACGGATGCACTAGAATGAGTGTAAAGGAGCTGTGTGAGACCGATGACCTGGCTACCCGTCTGGTGCTGGACCCTTTACTGGGGTTCAGCACACATAAAATGAACATCAGGTAAGATGTCAAACACACCACATGACCATCCACCAGATGCAGACTTAATTCAATCATCGTTTGGTTTCCAACTCAGTCAGATTGACCAGTAACAATAAGTTCCCAATGCAGGGCTTCTAAAATAAAGGTACAAGTGAGTGTAACAAATACTGAACTAAATTAGGAATATATTTTTGGCTGTCGTTGTTCATTTAAAGTACTTGTGTTTTTCACATCACACTTTACATGACTCATTACTGAGGCGGTGGTGGCCTAGTGGTAAAGGAAGCGGACTTCGGTCCGGAAGGCCCCAGGTTCGAATCAACTGCCAGGTTGCCACTGAGATGCACTGAGCATGGCATCGTCCTCAAGCACTGCTCCCCGGGCGCTGACCACGGCTGCCACTGTTCACTTGGTGATGGGTTAAATGCAGAGGTTAAATTTCGTTGTGCAGGGTGTGCTGTGCTGTGCTGTGTCACAATGACAAATAAAGATAAGTTTAAGTTTAAAAAAGGTTTACATTTCCGACATTTGCAGTGGGATAAGACATCTGACTATCTGACCTGTTGGGCATCTGTGAAAACAAATACACTGTTAAAGTCCATGAAATAATTGACTTAAGTGCCACAGCACAGTGTATCTCTGCAATTCCCTGTAGTCAAAAATGTTGAAGTTGTAATTTATAACTAATGACCACATTTAACTTTGCTTTTAATTGTTGTTGTAGTAATTTATTGCAGATCAACAAACACAGAAGTCATCTAATTATTGTGATCTCAGTGCAGGCCATAACCCTATTTTCTTGAACATGTCAAGGAGATGTTTTTATCACTCTAATTTATGGAGGAAAAGTATTTTGCAATTTCTGATCTGTGTGTGTAAATTCTTATGCACCTTTAAGATCAAACTAGTTTTAAATCTAAAAACTCACATAAAAATGATCAAAAATGTTAGGGCTGCAGTTAACACTTCTGTTCTTGAGAATTGTTATTGGTCATGTAACAGTAAAAGTCTAATTTCTTTTTACATTTCCACTTTTCCCTACTTCACCTCAGCCCCCCACCAGAGATCAGACGATGGGGTAACCTCAAAGAGACCCTGCTGCGCTTTCAGCGCACACATGATTTTGACACTACGTTTGAGGCCTTGACTGAAGGTGAACTGGCTGGTGACTACTTCAATGCTTTGGGAAGCCATCGACAGGAACTACTTAGACAACATGTAGGTTAATGTGAAAACAATCAAACATCATAAAGTACTTGATGGTTATAGTAGAGTATCTCAAAATATTATTGCATATAGAGCACTTTCTTTTTATTTATGTCATTATTTTGTCCACATTTAATATCACCAGTTAGAATGTTAAAACACAGGCCTTGGTGTCTACAGGTGTACCGCTACCTCAGTGCCTTCCTGCTGGATAGTGGAGTGAAAATCGAGTCCTGTGACAGATATTCTTCAGAGACCAATGGAGCGAAGATAACTTCATCAAGGCACTGGTAATCTCTCCCATATAATCTAACTTAACACTGTTTGTGGGAGCAGCATGTGGCATAACAAATACAGCTGGTACGAGCAAGTGTGGGTTGACTGAGTGTGAACTTCTTGTGTTTGTTTAAATTGTAGATGTATGACACTTCGACTTTTGCTCTGCAGGTTTGCAGGAGAGCGGGTGGAGGTCCTGCTGGGCTGCATAGCAGAGCTGAGCCCCACTGACAGTGCTGTGCTGAGAGCGGGAGTCAATGACTTCAGCGTGATGTATTCTACACGCAAACGCTGTGCACAGCTCTGGCTTGGACCTGCAGCTTTCATTAACCATGGTGAGTTTGTCTCACGCTAATTCTTTCCAAGTATAAACACACACACAGATAGTGTAGCTACAAGTACGATTAGTAGATACACTGTCCAATCCACAACAAAATAGTATTGTTTGTTTATTTCAGACTTTTTATGTAATGCTTATGTTTTTCTCGTAAGGGCCAGTGAATCAGCTATGAAACATATTCTACAGATTCCTTTCACCTGTACTAACACTTTTACACTATAGCCAAAATCAAAATTCAGTCTCTTACAATATTCAACAGTATTTATAAATATACATATCCTTGTCCATGCTTCTAAATTTCATGTCAGTGTTGCTGTCATAGCTCTTACTCTGTGCCCATTTGTTATTTTATTTAGTCTATCTTTGCACGCCATAGAGACGAAAGCCAAATGTAGTTTTGATTGTGTGTCCTTTATATACAGAAGAGGGTGATGAAGTTGAACCTGGAACCTTGAATATATCCAACATTCGTCTAACATTTAATCTGCTTTAATTGTCAATTCATATCTCCCCTTTTCACTTTTGCAGGATTGATTAAAAGCAGTTTTTGTTTAATTATTTTCTGTTCTCAGTTTCATGGTGTTGAACTATTGTGTTGTTCTTACTTACACACATACACACACATAACTAATAAATGAATCACAAGCTGTTTGTATGCTGTTTTTATGTAATTATATATATATATATGTATATATATGTATATATATGTGTGTATATATATATATATATATATATATATATATGGAGCATAGTTCAATTACATTCAGAAGTGCTTGTTGCTTTTCACAGGTGTATATATCTATAATCAATAAGATCCTGAATTCCTGAAGTTTTGGGGAAAAAAAGTCTGTCATTTTAATGCATTTTTCCCAGGGTAGTAGTTTTACACATCACACTGAAAGGAGAATTGTATTTGAAACATTAACAAGATTATTGTTCCTTGTTTGTCTCTTTATGTTTTCTCCTGCGCTGAAGACTGCAAACCCAACTGCAAGGTAATATCCATAAAATATTTTCATTTATCACATGCACTAATGTTTTGTTGTCATTAAAATGATTTATTACTCTTATAAATGACATTATAAGGATAGACAGATTGTGTTGCAAAAAACTGAATGATCTCATTATGTGTTGTTGGATCCCAGGGGAATGTCAGTCTTTGTCTCTTTGTTTTTCCAATTTTTTTTCCTTTTTCATCTCCCTGCCCAGTTCATCCCTGGTGAGAAGAACGTTGCTTGTGTTGAAGTGATTCGTCCTATATCACCAGGGGAGGAGATCACGTGTTACTACGGTGCCAGCTTTTTTGGCGAAGGCAATGAAATGTGTGAATGCTGCACCTGTGAGAGGTGTGTCCGTCCTCCTCAGACTTTGTCTTTCCTGTGTTATAGTTCGTACTTGCTGTTGAAGATCATCTTTCTTAACAAATGGAATGGAATGAAAAAACGTTTTTTTAAATAATTTTTAGAAACGGAGAAGGTCACTTCAAACACAAAGGGAAGCAGCCTGAATGTGAAGAAACAAAGGACCCTATTGGCCAAAAGTACCGACTGAGGGAGCGATATCTTCGCCATCACCGGGAGAAGGGCCATTTTCCTGCGAGACCACTAATACCACGATCACACTCAGGTATCTTTAAAGGTAACAAGTGAAATGTTGTCTTTTTTATATTATTAAATAATGTTTAAAAAACTACTGTTAGTACACTATGACTAAGTTTTAATGAAACAAATATGGAGAAGCTAATCTATCAGTTCCTGTGCAATATTTGAAAAAGAGGAATGACTAATGGTAAAATTATTTTCTCATTGCAAACTAGAAAGTTGTTTGAAAGTTGTCTGTTTATCCTGTTTTATCTCATAAGATATTTTTGGTCTGAGAGTCAGGTTCTATGTCTTATTTTACTCCATCCCCTGAATGCAGAGCAAAAAAAACATTCAAAGATTTACTTTGTTTATTTACATTTCATACTTTATTTTAATTATATAAACATAATATTTACAATAAATATACAGACTCTTTACAAAAAAACCCAACATTTTTATCTGTTTCATTCATAGCCATCCCCTCAAGGAATTCCTTCACCCAGCAAATGAGAAGAAATGCCTTGAAGAGCAGAAAACTGAGTCAACAAAAGCAATGGCAACTAGAGAAACACAGACGGTCAGGCAAGCACACATTTAAGCTCAACACAGTCAAACAGCGAAGGACAATTACACTTCTGTCCAAGGTTACACTGAAGGAACTCAGCATCAGAGTACGACACCACTCTGTTGATTTTCTGATCAACTGTAAGGATCCCAATAGCAAAGAAAGAGCCCTGCTGCAGAAACTGGAGGAAGCGAAGAGGAATGATAAAAAACCAAGTGAATTGACTTCCTGTAGTGATAGAAACAGCAGCAAGGTCAACTTAAAGCCTTTCAATCAGAATTGTGTCGCATTTAATCAAAAAAGTAAAAAAGTAGTTAATAGAGTTGATCCTAGTAGAAGGTCAGTCAGAGTGATAACAATGGCTCACTCCAAGACCACTTCAAGTACAAGAAAGAATGTTCAAACTGAGCTCAAAGAGCAACGGGAGTCATGTAATGGGGACAAAATGGCACCTCTTTGTCCCCCTGTTAAGAGCAATGATGCTGGTGCAATAAAGCAAGAGATGATTGAAAGTCACGACCAGAAGTGCAGAAGCACTGAATGCTGTGATGCTATTGCAGTTCAAGGCCCAGACACAGAGGAAACCTTGCAGAACAACAACCAAACACCATCCCAAGTAAAAGTTTGTGGAGACAACCCTTTAAAATCAATTAAGCAATACCTTACAATAAACCTATGGAGAGTGGCATTGCCACAGTGTGTAGAGTTAGAAAAAGCAACCGAAGACAGGCCAGCAAAAGTGGAGTTAAGAACAAGAAGCAAGCAGAGCCAGTGTCCAAGACCAGCACCTCTGACAATCCAGACAAAAAGAGCGTCCAGGGCTCAACAGAATCAAGATGGGCGAGCAGGGATCTGCACAGCTGAAGGCAACAAAGGGGTGAGGGAAATGTTATTTAAGGCTGTTGATAAAGTAAATGTGAGGAATGGACATGCAAATGAAACCACAGGTGAATCATGCCAGGCTGAGAAAAAGATGAGTGAAAAAGTAATTGAAATTCAAACATTGCCAAAGGATGAAAAAACAAGCTTGCAAAGCACACAGCCTGGAGTGTCAAAAGGCAAACCTGAAGAGGGCAAAAAACAGGAAAAAGATGCACCTAAAGTTAGGAATGATGAAACCAATGGAGCCCACGAAGATATGATTGAGTCTGAAAGTGCAGGTGTCTCTAACAAGGAAAGTCCTAATCAGAATTTAACTGAGAGTGTGAACACTAAAGACAAGGATTTGGGTACAGAGAAAGGACTTGCAATAGAGAGTAGCAAAGACAAACAGGAGGCACCTCAACCAAAGTGTATTGACATTAATGGTGCAAAAGTTGTTCTTTTTGATATATTAAAAAATAAAAACTTAAAAGAAAACATTTTAAAAAGGCTTACTTCTCAAGCTTTAGAATGTGTGCAAAGATTCAAGGAGCAAGAACAGATAGAAACAAATAAAGGCCAGAACAATCTAGTGTTGAGGCATGATCTAAACAGACGAAATTTAAGATCTAGAATGGCAAAAACAAAAATGGGGAATGAATGTGGCACCAGGGCACACCTGAGCAAAGATGTTTCAGCTGAAAGTAAGACTGGGTTTGGGGAGGATGATTTGCATCCCCACTTGTCTCCGAAGCATATTGCCCCTACGGACACCATCCCAAGTCCACTACCTCAAAAATACTCAGTGACAGCAAAGGTTTCAAATAATATGTTCCCAGACAATCCACAGACACACATACAGTCCAACATACCACTGAAGAAACGTACATTTCGAAGCGATGTGGAGTTGGACTCAAAACAAGGCTTGAACCCTTCAAGTCAAGCTGATAAGAAATTGCAGGACAATTCCTCTGCAGCACTAAGCCAGGAACCTACCTGTGGTTCAGGGGAAAGTAAGAGTAACAAACTGAAATTCCACAAGGTTACCCAAAACAGAATACCAAAACAAAATGCTGTTAAAAGAGTGCTACGCCCCAGAGCCACCATAGTTAAGCGAGTCTGTTCAAGAAACCTCCGAGGGTCAAATGTTGAAGCAGATGATGGCGCTTCTGACAAAGATCAGACACAAAATCAGTTGGCAGAGGAAAACCAAAGGAGTCCAGCAGAATTTAACAAGCATTCAAGCAAAGCCGAACTCCATCAATCCCCACAAAAAATAAAAAAAAAGCATGAAGAAGTGGAAACGTTATGTCAAGAAAGTGATGTGGAAGAGACAAAACCTAGTCTTAATTTTAAGATCCGATTTAAAAGAAGGAAAGGTAAATTATGGGAAATGCAAAGTGGTTTTTTTGAAAATATGTTATTGAAAAGGGAAAAAAAAGACGAGGCAGGGACATGTGATCCATTTAAAGCCATTATGGACTCTGTATCAGTTTTAAACATGGAGATGGAGGCAGCGCGTGCTCATGTGAAGGCGAGTAAGAAGTCAAAGAACAAATTTCTCCTTTTAAAAAGAAGAGGTAACAGGTTTCATAAAAAGCGCATTAAGTCCTCTTACACAAAACTAGTGAAAGGTCAAGGTCTTAATGAAACCAGTGAATTAACCATTGAGGGTCCAAAAAAACGGAAGTCTGATTTGGAGGTTGTAGGTCAGGACACACTTAACTCTGAGTATCAGAAAATTAACAGGCAGACTCCGTCAGGTGCTGTTCAAAACACAAAGGTTGAAGGTTGTTTTGCAAACAATTGTTGCATGTTTGAAAATGGGTCACAACAGAAGCAGGAGCCAGAATTTAATGCAAATGGTCTTTTGTTACCAGTAATTAAATTGCGTAGGAAAGAGGAAGATATTTGGGAAGTGGACAGCCTAGAGGTCTTTCCAACAGAACCTATAGGAGGTTCTGTTCTTAAGAAAGAAATGGGAAATCATGTTTTAGGAAAACAAAAGAAAGAGCATTTGGAGTCATGTAAGCTCAGCAAAGAGTGTTCTTCCACTCAGAGGGTAAACAACAATGGCTCTATGAAAACTGAACCACTGCCATTCTCTTTATCACTGTCACCACTGTCTCTTTCTTCTCCTCTTGGCGACAATAGGTCTGACATTTCATCCGCAGCTGCCAATAAAATTATTGAAAGGCCAGAGTTTAATGGTAGTGGAAAGAAGCACAGGGCCAAAATGGAAAGGATGCGAAAGTCTGGGCCTGTAGAGACATCCACCACTTGTTTAAGTCACTCTCTTCAACAGATTGACAACAGTCTGTCTAGACTATCTGAAGGTCTGTGTTCATCTCAGACTCTTGAAAAGCCTCCGTCCAGTTTAAATCTTTCCAGTTCTGTCATTCAGCCAGTCTCCCAGTTTACGTCCTTCCCCACGGCAGAAAACATGCTTTCCGGTGAGCCAAGCTTCTCAAATTGCTGTGATGACATTTTGGACTTTCAGTATCTCAACTTTGAGGGCTATTACCAGCCACAGAACATCCTCCCATCTTCACCCTCAGATCTGCTGGATCCACCCACAGATCCTTTCAGCAGTCCCCTCTCTCATAGCCCATCAGATACATGGACTGCTGAGACACCCTACCTTGGTCCTCCCAGTCCAGAAACCAACTTCACCAGTGAAGATCTCCCGTTTTTTCCTGGTCTAATATCTACTAAAGGTGACCCTGTTTCTTCAGATTGTGAAGGAAGGGATTTGTCCACCAACAGAATCCTTCCTAGCTTTTCATCTTTAAGCAACTCTGACTTAACTGCTAAAACCCTCAGTGTGGGTAGAGCTCCAAGAATTAGGCCATCCAAAGAGGACCTCAAGAGTCAGCCATTCTCTGTTGTCAACAAGCCTCGGTTGTTTGGTACCACCTCGCATTCTGCCACGTCACATAATCCTGTCAGTATAACGCAGCCTTCAGTTCATGTCAAACCCAACATCAGCCAACCTAAACCTCAGACCAACTTAAAAAGCCAGGGCCCTTTCCATCGTGTGGCAATACCCAGCAAATCTCAGTCTTTCTTTAGCCACAGTCACCCTAACACTGCTAAAGGAGTGCCCCAGAGTTGCCTAACAAAGACAGTTCCATCATCTATAATGCCTTCTAAACTCCTCTCTACTCAGTTTTCTAATGTTAAAAAAACAAATCTTTCAGAAAACCCATTTAACTTCCATGAAAAAAATCCTACCGTTATTCACAGGGTGCTTAAGTATCAGGGAGGCAGCCAGAGTCAGAACTTGTACAGTGCACCTTGTAAAGACACCACAGCTGCAGGCAGCCCCAATATTCTTTCCACAACCCGTGGTACTAAATCAGACTCTATTGAGAAACCCCACCAGACTCAGAAACTTGATCCCCGTGTAGCCAGCCATCATAAAGGTACATTTTCATTTCAGGGATTTGGAAAAGATGTTGCCCATGTTTTTTCATCTGCCAGGGCCATCCCTCATCTTGGCAAAACCAACTCACCTTTTACACAGTCTTCTAGTAAACCTAGGATGGCATTTGATAAACCGGAAAGTGGAGAACCCAACATGGCCTACAGAAACTTCTCTACGCTGACAAGACCGTTCCTTTTTCCTAACAAAGCAACTGAAAGTCTACCATTGCCACAGGACAAGAGTTTAAAAGTAGACAAATCAACCATTTTATCTTCAGACAAACACCAGCCCTGTTTTGCTCAGACAGATCAGTTTGATTTTAGCTTCAACTCCTCTCTTTCGCCCATGTCACAGCACAATAGTTCTCAAATTATCCCCAATACAGCTCCTAATACGCCAGCACCAGCAAACAAGAGCCATCCCTCAACAGCCTCAACAGCTTTCCCCTACGGCTACCAAGGACCTCCTTATGTACTGAATTTTAGTGGCGATCATTCATTGACTCTGGGTCTCAGGGATGGTGCTGACGGTTATCCTGGACTGGGCTCAACAAACTACACCTACCATTGCCTGATGGAACCTTCAGGCACACAAGGACGATTGGTTCTTGAGCCCTGTGGGACTCAGCTTTCAAACCCACCGTCTTTTTCCCTGGGTAGTTTTTCCGGGCTGAAAGGTCAGGAGGACCACAGCAGGAAAGATGGACAGCAGCAATGCCAGTCTGGAGAATCCCATGGCCCACCACACTACGGACCTGGTACAACATCTCACTCAGTGGGGGCCACAAAACCCAAACGAGTGAGGCTGGTGGTGACAGACGGTACAGTAGACTTGGATCTCCAATACTCTGACTGATTTGTACACACCACAAAAAGGTTTTGTAAAAATGTTACGTTCACACTTTTTACACTTTTAGCTATAAAAGCCAGATGAATGACAATTTAAATATATATTTTGATAAACAGTATTATTACTTGTACAGGTTTTTATGTAAAGCTGGACTTATCTGTGTGTTTTAGCTACGGTATAGGTTTTTAGATTTTACTGACAATACCAAACTAAAAGAACAGTTTTTTGGAACCCTGTGGCCCTGTAAACACCCTCTTTCTGTACTGTAATACGGTATCAATCTTTCTATAGTGTGTGGTGACCGGACAGGAGCACCATCAGTGGCTGCTGGTACGTGTACTGGTGGGTTTAAAAGGCAGCTTTTGCCCGCATTCTTTCATATGTTCTTGTGATGTTTTTAAACTCTCTTTCTATACACACCCTAAGCCCTTTTCTCACAATGTGTTTTATATATATATATATATATATATATATGTATATATATATATATATGGGTGTGTGTGCGTGCATGCATGTGTGCGTTACTCACTACTATTGTGTGAATGTGTTTGGCACACAGGTCTGAAGGGATCAGTGTGTTGCAAAACACATCATAGTGTGTTGACGTGTCTGGTATCTCTGCTCCATTTCATGAAGCTAAATTGTGTTGGGAATAAATGATTTTCTGACCCAAACCTCACACATATATACATACATACATACGTGTCTGTGTGTGTGTACATATGTGTTAGTATATGTGTAATGTAATGTGTATATATCTGTATATATGTAACTCTAACTAAAATATGCATATGCATATACACATACATAGCAATTGAGGGGATTAGTTACATTTGCTCTGACAATTGACTGAGAGAAGTTACTTTTTTCTTTTTACGCCAGTTGTGCTTATTAATTGATAGTAGCAGATGAGATCAAATATTATCATTTCATTATTTGAAACTGCTTTAAAGATGTTTGTTGTGCAACCATTTTGTTGTTACATCACAGGTGATGATCCCGTCAGAGAAACTGAACAGTGATTAATGATAACATTAAATGTTGTTTATATTGTAATCATAGTTTTTATTTCTATTTTCTGTTTATTATATGAGTCCTGTGAGTGTTCTCCTGTTTAGATGTTCTGTATGTAAGTTCCTGTCACACTGTTGGGCAGGGTTGTTGAGTGTGACTGTAGCCTTACATTACCATCAATTGTACTGTTGATATGAAAATACACCAATTATTTATTTTACTATCCTCATCCTTGAAATGGTGCTTTAATGTAATTTATATTTTAACAATAATTGTTCAACCTATCAAATGTTTGTATTATTATTTAATGGTTTCTTAAGTGACTAATAGCTATTTAATTTCTATGCCAGCTGTTGCCGGTGAAACTCTCGGTCTTGTCCTGCTGACCATAATATTTCTTTCAGTACTTCCTGTTCTTGACAAGGAGGCACAGTTCTGTGGTGGAGCACAGAGAACTATGTTTCCTTGACGGATGTTATTCGTCTTGAGACAGAGATGGACTTTAAAAGCTTCTCCTACCATGACTGACTTACACTTTTACCCCCACCATATCTCTGGTGCCCGGCTTTTTTCTCTTCTGTTTCTGTTACCAACACACATCCCAGGACACAACAAATTCCTTCAAGGCAAAATATCCTCCTATTGTTTTTAGTAATATAAATGTAAATCTTTTCTTTCATTTGAGCATGTTTAAATTAGATTTGTAATTCAAATGAACAGATCAGAGAAGTCTACAAATAAAAAAAAGTGGCTGAAAACCTGTGAATGAATCTTGTGAAAGTTTGATGTATTGATTTGATTTTATCCTAAAATAATTGCTTTTAGTTTTTATTTCTTTATCCAGCAGTTGGGTGGAGCAGAAGAAATTCCATAAACTGTAAACAATCCAGCATAAGTACTGCAGATTGTATTTTATAGAACACATTGTTGATGTTTGCTGTAAGAACTATGTCAGACAGTATGCAGTGGGATTCCTAATCACGGTCAATATTTTCCAACGTCATCTTTTTTCCACATATTCTGTGAGTTAATCATTGATAGAGAGCTCCTCTTCGTCTTGTATTTGTACGTCAACTCCATTAAACTCTCATTTCATGCATGTGTGCAATCACATGACTCCATGTTGCTCGTGTTCAGCGCCCTAGGGATTAAAATCCGTCATGGGGTGGAAGTGTTGCACAGCAACCGCAGCTGTGAAATGGCTGACTGTGGTTGTTGGAGGTTGTGTGAGTCTACACTGCTTGAACCAGCAGAGTCACACTATCAGCAGTAGAGGAGGGAACTGGTCTGGAGTCATGATGCACATTCTTTTGATGGGAGCAGACAGCTGTGGAAAAATATTGAACATTATTTCCCAAGTGACAGGTGACAGAGGCTCCACATGACTGGCTACTGGCTGAGATGGCAGTGCATTAGTGTAAATTATGACAGTAACGAAACCTCCTGTGTCCAGCATAGGGGTTGCTGAATAAATATGTCAGTGCACAGCAGGGTTATTGCTCTTATTATTGTAGCTATCTTTCTCTATTTGGTCTGACTGTGTGCCGTTAGGTGGACTCCTGCGTCCAAGAGCTGCATAGTGACTCCCATCCAATTAAAAGTATTGGTTCAGCTGGAGCCTATGAACAGAACTGTTTAACCATTCTCTCCTGCACTGAATATAGACTCAGTCAAAGAACTGGCCCTGACACACGGTTACAGAGTAACCAATCGATGAAAACCTAATTTAAGAAAATCAATAGATCAGATTGCTGTAATGCTTTTATTATAGTGTGAGAAAGTTACCTGTGCATGAGTCACTGAGTGAGTGGGTGGACAGGTCCAGCTACGAGGGTGTGTTTGGCTCATGTCTATTTCTAAAAGTACGTCAGAGCTGTAATGGCTGTAATGATAGTGACAAACATGTTCAGTGAAGTGTTGAGATGGATGTTCACTGTAAAAAAAAAAAAAAATCTGTTATTTAAAAAGTGAAAGAGAATTTGGCATTGCGACACAGCACACCTCTGCTTTTCACCCATCGCCAAAGTGACCAGGGGGCAGAGTGTGGGGACTCAAACGTGAAATCTTCCGGACCTAAATCCGCTTCCTTAACCACAAAGCCACCGCAGCACCTTAACTTGCTTTTTGAGTAATTTCTGGGACTTTTTATTATTTTGCATTTTTTCGTGCTTGTTGACCTGATAAATTAGATTTTTGCTGAAAGATTAAAAAAAAAAAATTCTAAAAAATATCTGAAATGCTTTAATTTAATGAACAGTATGTCAACAAGAAAAAACATTTGAAAAATATTTTGCCAAAAATGTCATTAGAATTTTAAACTTCTTGTACTGGTTGGTTGTTTGGTTTGGCTCCCTCACCACCCCAGACCTCTCTCTCTCGTTCTCTCTCTCTCACTCACCCACAGCTCTCTCTCCCTCTCTCTCTCTCTCTCTCTCCTTCTCTCTCTCTCTCTCTCCCTCCTCTGTACATGGTGTTCATGGTAATAAGCATTGCAGCAGTGGTTTTCTTGTGTCGCCTATACCCAACTCTTGGCTTGTAATTCATTTTCTTCTGTGATTGTGTGTTTGAATGTGAGAGAAAGAGATCGGGTGAGAGACGATACGTTGGCTGCACTGCAGCAGATTCAGAACCTTGTGTCTTTGTAGCTTTTTATAAAATTAGGATTATTAAGGAAACTTCACTATGGTGATTTTAGTGTGTGATAATTGGATTAGTGCGTGTTGTGTGTCTTTGTGTGTGTGCACCCTGCTGGGTGGATTATGCTGTGTTCTTGGTGTTGTCAGTTTTGTGAGAAAGATAAAAAAATATTCTCGCTGCTCGAAGTGTAGCTGTACAACAGTGATGAGAAAGAAAGAGATAGAGAGACAGAGGGGGAGTGGAGTTGGAGGGAGAGGGGAGAGAGAGAGAGAGGTCTGGGGTGGTGAGGGAGCGAAGCCAACCAACCAGTACAAGAAAAGAGAAAAAGATGGAAGAGAGAGAGAGAAAGGGACGACGTGAACGTGGTGAACAGCAGGAGGAGGGGAGCATAGTGAGGGAGTGAGGGAGGGAGGGATGGGGAGATTTGCTGGAGCGAGCTGATAGAAGTGTTACTACAGAGCTGCTGCTGCAGCTGCTGCTGGAGAGCCGAGGATAATGCTCCGTCCCTCAGAGTGCAGCAGAACACGGGATACCTTCACATTTCTTCTTTGAGGAGGGGGTGGGGGTCACCGATGGTGCAGTGGTGATTGTCCTTTCTTTTTTTTTTCCCTCTTCTGTCACCACAGTCTTCTTCATTATCTTCCTCCTCCTGCTCGCCCCTCCTCACTGCAACTGGCAACCACTGAGCCCTCGCTCTTCTCCTGTCTCCTCTTCCACTTCTGTCCCCTGTCTTGAAGAGGGATTTCTGTGTTTCTTCAGGGATTGTATATACAGTAAGGACGTCTTCCGTTTATCTCGCTTTCATTCTCCTCACTTCAGGGAAGTGCACTGATATGCAGGGCAGGAAGGGGGTTGCATTGCAAAGCAAAAGGGAATGCATGTTTATCTGTGTGTGAGTGTGTGCAGCTGGAGGTTAGGGATTGTAAGGTTCCTGGATTGATTTCAAATATTATTTTTTATCATTTCACTGTCTTCATGTGCAAAGATTTAAATTATCAAAAAAAAAAAACAAACCTGCAAAGACTCAATATTTAACTGACAAAAAGAACCTGAATTAAAGTAAAATGGACAAAAACAAAGAGCCACGAGAGACATTTACTGTGCAGATACAGAGAAGGTAAAACAAGCAGTTTCTGAAGCTGGATTATGGAGTAGCAGTAATACGCCCAGCTCACAGAGAGGCAGTAGAAGAGAATGAAAGGAGAGACACACATCCTTCTTTAAAGAAACAAACAAAACACAGTTGTTTAGTATCCTTTCAAAACTGCAGAAAGAAAAATGTAAGTTTTTTAAATTGTTTGCGTCTAATCCTTAATCCCTCCCACATTCATTTGCATGCATGCCTACAATTGCCAATAATCTGGTGCAGCTCACTGCTCACAGTAAAAGGCTAATCAGTGCATGAAGTCACATAGTAAATCACACTCTGGCTACGTCTGACATGGGGTGAGCGGTGTGCGAGGGAGGCATGGACACATGCACATCAGCTCTGGACGTGTAAGAATACAAGTGTTCTAGCAGGAGATTTTAACAGTGCATGTTCAAACTTTTGATTCACTCAGTTTAGCAGAAAGTAAAACTGCCAGCTCTCTTCCTGCTATTACATCCATGGGTGACTGCAGGTTGGACATAATTATACACGTGCTACTTCTGAATTGACATACAGTACATTGCTCAGAGTGGGGAGGATTTCTCTGTCTCATTTTAGTGGAACCTGAAATTAAACCTGCTCCTGGTAGGTGTTCAGGTCTAGAGCTCCTGAGTGTTCAGTATTGATTTTACAGCAGCATTGGACAATGAGGAGATACGTTGCCCACACACATGCAATCTTGGCAAATCACCCAGGTACAGTGTGTGTGTGATATTGTGGATAATGGTAGAGCAGACGATGAGACAGACTCATAAGGAAAAATGTAATGGCGAAAGGTTTGAATGACATCATTGGTGCTTCATAAAAGTAAGATGACAAAAACACATGGCTGTTGTTGACTTCCCTGTTTAACATTCTGGATTTTACTTTTACTTTTACTTATCTTCTAATTGGGTCAGTTAGAAGATGTTTAACTAGGAGTAATATATTTATGTTTAGATGCTCGTGATTGTCAATCTGAGACAGACAAGTCTCAACCAGCCAGTTGAAGCTGGCCGGTCATGTATGTCGAGCTCCACTGTCCTGTGGAGCTGTACACCTTCAACACACTTGTGACAACACATGCAAATGACCAAATGTAACTATGAGACATGAACCATGGTAGTTACAAGCTTATTCGTCAAAGCTAAGCTAAGCTAAGCTTGGATGGGCTGGCCCAGTTAACCCTCATTCATCTTTTTTTTTTTAGTTTTGCACCAGCATCACTGGATCTTTTATGTTGAATTAACACTGATCACATGCACAAGAAAGTGCAAATGACCAATAGAGGGCAGCATAGCTGATTAAAGCACCATTTACTTCACACAAATGTCCGTGGTGCAAAAAAAAGGAGACCAGTTGTTTAGGAAGTTACAAGGACAGATGTGAAGTGACAGTTCATGTTCATGTAGCTTCACACAAATTATGATCAAGTTGATGACGAAGTCTCTGCAGATTTTCCACGTTTCAGTAACTCACGAATCTGATGAGAAGTCCTGATCTGCCAGACGTATTTATCAGACCAATCAAAACAGTCTGATCCATGTCACATTACTTCGAGCAAACATTCATTTTGGAGGATGATGGCAGTTGGACGTGAGCAGGTTTTCATGCAGGCATTCTGAGTCTTGTGCTTTCTCGAAAAAACATCTTTTGAAAAGCTGTGATTACAGAAATTAGTCAAACTCCCATGGTGAATTATCTGGACTTTACTTATTGTTGTACTTCATTGGGGCGAGTGTTTCTCATTTTGTTCCTGGGAAGGACACCTAACACCCAAGTGTCAGCACAGAGCCAAAATAAATGGCAGAAGGAAATCCACTGTAGAAACTTTACCAACAGTGATGACCATTTGGCAATGGTGATCAGCTCAGGCCTGGACCTGTCAGCTCTGACATTAACCCTTGCTGTTGTTCCAACTGTAATATGGTCTATTTCACCCATGATTTAGAACTGACACAAAGCCACTCCAACTTGCCACAACCTAAAGCCTCCATTTTTCATTTATAGGATATTTATTTAAAACCCTGGCCTTACTGTCTATTCTGAGCTTATCTTTACATTATCACCTAAAGTAAACTAATACCTAATCCGAAAATGAATTGTTTTGACTGAAAATGTCACGATTCATATACAGTATCTGCACCAACCCTGACTTGATGGCAGCTTCTCTGTGTAATACTGACCCCTGACCCAGTCCTGCTGCTGTCATGTGGTCAAGCAAAAACCCTGAGAGCGTAGAACACCACACAGCAGCTCCACAGACAGACAGACTCACACAGCACACAGGTGACATCTACTTCAGTGCAGATCCTCTCCTGAGAGACCGGACCCTGTTCACGCAATAATACTTGACAAAAAGAGGGATTAACAGCTTTCTGAAGTCAAAGCCACCAAATTAAAACAAAACATTGAAAAATTGCCTTATACAAAAGTATTGTTTAATCTTAATTAGTGTAAAGGGTTTTTTTTGTTTGTTTTTTTTTTTACAGAAATTTCTAGTGTTTGAAAAACAAAACCAAAGACTGGCTGTGTGAAAGCTCTCTCATCAAGGTTTCCATGCAAGTGTCCCCAGGATCAGTGATCTGAGAACCATATCCATCAGAACTGTTGAAGGAGCAGAGGTGAAACGTCTAATTCAAACAAGCCGATGTTCTTAGATGTGAACTCCTGAGGAGACACCTGGAGTAAACGCTGTGACTCTAATGCTGATTATCCCTCTGCTCCTTCGCTGCTCTGCTGACAGCATGTCAGAGCTGTGTTGTCAGAGCTGTATTCGCTCTCCAAGGTTTTGTCTGTTTATTTACTTCTTTTTGTTTTCCTATTTCGCTGCTGGTTTATTTGCTTAAGTGCTCAAGTCCTCCTCCACCCTGCACAGAGGAGATGTGGTTCATATTTCCAGATTTAGGCATCTCCATTACGCTCTCATTTCTTCCTCCTCTCTTTTCTTTTCTCACTCATTTCATCTCCCGATGGCAGTAAACGACTGATCTGGGACAGACAGGCCTCCCCTGTGCTCTGTCCTATTTCAGCAAGGTCCTCACTTCACTTCTGTTTCTTTTTTCGTATTCCTTGGCGTTTGTCATTTACCTTCTGCTCACCCTTCCGTATCTAACCTCTGTCTCCATCGTTATTACTCACTTTATTATCTGAGGGTGTTTCATCAGACTGTAGCACAGTAATGCCAAGTAATAGACTGTCAATATGATTGGAAGGCAGAGGTGCCTTCATCATCCACAGCACTATAATCTTTATCTGGGAAAATATATGACATTCACGACCGTCTTAAATGAAGGTCCTATTCTCATCTGAAGGAGAGTGAAGGTTCATGGGAAGAAAAACACATCTTCAGGGGGGACATTTTAAATAAATGTTTGAGATTAGCAACCACAGCATTGTTGACACACTTTCAGGACATTTTTGACCGACAGCTGCAGGATTTGCTTCAGTCAAGTTACTTTATCCTGCTGTATTTTCATGAAGATGTCAATTGTACAGAACTGGCTGAGGACTCTATCGTAGACATTTTCTGTCATACTGCAGGTCTGCTTTGTGGCAGAGAAGATTTAGGGAAGGAGAAACTTATTAACTTTGACAACGGGTATTTGACTTCTGTCCAAAGCTGAAACTGCAGGCTGAGCTATTAAAAAGATTTCTAAAAGTCTTCAATCCACTGAGAAATTCTTAAGAAGGTGTTTCTCAAATCACTTTTTTTGATGGGACTCAACTGTCCATTGATTAGTTAAAATGCAGCCCTAAACCCCTGCAGAGCCTTCCCTATACTTTAGTCAAAGTTTTAGTCCTCGATCTTCAACATGAATTTGTTAATTTTTTATACTTACAATAAGATCCTGGAGTGTTTGTCCGACTGGAGCTATCTTTGGCTTGCACTTATTTCCAGAGACACGTGCACGTTGCACGTTGCTCTCCACCACTTCGTCCAACCTCACCAGACAGATCACATGTGTCTCTTTGCAAATGCTCCATTCACGGTAATCGGGAGAGAGGCTTTGGAGGGGTGGCAGGGTGGAGAGCTTTGGCCAGACTTCTCCATGCATCATGAATGCACTCAGTTTATTAGGGCTAATTACGCCATTGAGAGGCAGAAGAGTGGGGTGAATTCTCCCAGCAGTCACTGCTGCATCATCAAAGTGGGGAGCTATTTTTAGCAACAGCAGATGCAGGGTAGCAGTGTTGGCCCTGTATAATAGTTTTGTGTGTGTGTGTGTGTGTGTGTGTTTGTGTGTGTGTGCGTGCGCGTGGACCGCGAGCATCAGCTGCAGAATTCACTGCTGCATTCAGCTTTGCGGGAAAGACAGCAGACGAGGAATTCTTAGTGGAGAGCACAGTTCACAGACGACAAGTTGCAGCGTGAAAGACTTGGGATACTGGAATATTGTGTTAATACACAAACCTCAATTCCAGAAATGTTGATAAAGAACATAAAGAACAGCAAAAAAACAAAACAAAAACAAAACAACATAAAAAAGCTCTAGTGCTTCTCAAACTTAATTTGAAAAATCGATGTCGTCAAAACACTCATAAAAGGCTAGAACAGAAACCAAGGAGGAACAGGAAGTAGGTTCTACGAATAGCAGCCAAGACTTGCTAATTCAAAGGTCTTCTTGGAATTAAATAAAGTGC